ACACCGCGGATCACTGGCTGTCTGTGGCTCTGCGCGATTGGGTGGCTGGTTGTGCAAGAGCCTGGGGGCCGGTGACTAGGCACCCCTGCCTTACTCACCGGTCCTGGCCGCGAGCCCTGCCACAAGCAACGGGAGGAAGAATTAGCCGCTCTTTCCCCTGGGCTCCTCCGGCAGGCTCCTCTCAGGGTTTGAGGGTGAGGAGCAGAGATCGGAGCGCATATCTGCGCTGCCTCCACCTGTGCTGGACTGTGCAGAGAGAGCGGCGGTTTTCTGCGTGCCTCCCGGGGGTTTCCCTCCGGACCAAACGCTGGGCGGCGTTTTTTTCCCCCCCCCCCCCCAGGCACAAGACTGCACAGGGAGGAGGGGTGGGCTTGTGTTCTCCTTGTGGTTGTGTGCCCCCTCCCTACATAATCTGGGGTGGGCAACCTGCAGCCCACGGCCTTCTGGGGCCTTCAGGGCTCTGTGTTGTGGCTCTTGCAGCCCCCTCTGACCACGAGAGCTGAAAGCTCACAGCAGAACCTCTGGCCACTGGGAAGTAGGGAGCACGTGGCAATGGTACTGTAAAGCTCCAATGAGTAGATCCCATTGAAAACAGAAAGACCCCCACTCCCACCCCAGCCAGCTAAAAGGTTGCCCACCCTAACAGAATGTAATGCAGGCAGGTGAACTGGTAATGAGAGGAGGAGGAGGAGGAGGAGGAGGAGGAGGAGGAGGAGGAGGAGGCAGCCACCATAAACTTCATGGAATCCCCCCAGATGCCTCAGGGTCCAGCTCAGCCACCTGGAAAGAGGCCTCCTGTTTTAGCTCGAGCCAAAGTCGAGGCCATGTTTGACCTGGCTGCGTCTTTCCATCTTCACGTACAGCCATGACACTCCTACTGGGACAGAAGAGCCCTGGCCACCTGTCTTCCCCTAGCATGACTGAGTCCCCAATGCTTGTAATGTTTTTTTGACAGAAAAATGTGTCCATCTACATTCCTCTTGGATTGCTGGCTGCTTCCTGTGACCATAATGCCTTCTTCTCTTCAGATCCTGGACCTGTCCATATAGCTCTGTTACTCCTGGTTGACAGAACTCCTCATCCTGGTACAGTACCTCTTTTGTCTTACAGCTCCTCGAAACTAAAACAATCCTTATTTACAGCACTTTATTACAAGCTTTGAACCTCGCACCTCTCCCAGCCAAAGTCAGAGATTGCAAACCTCCACTCTGTGCCTTGGCCGCGGTTCATCACAAGCCTTTGTGATACCTAGGCTGACTTTCTCAAAACTGGGCCACACCTGTGATTCTTGATGTTTTCCCTGTAAAGGATATCTCTCCCGGCTTTACGGATAGCATGTATCCCATCAATTTGATCAATAAAATTACTTTGGTTCTTTTCCATATCTCCTGAGGTGGGCTCTGGAGCTGCTCCTTTGATTTATCACTGCAGGTCTTGTCTTTGTGCTTCTGAAAGTGCCAACATCTGGGATTATAACAGAGTGTCATGCCTTTTGGGGAAGTCACTTATATGATCTGGGGGTGACTGCTCTAGCTACAATTTCTGACAGCCAATTTTTTGGTGTTAATCCTGTATCCATGCAGGTGAACCACCTGGTTCTGATTTTGCTTGATCTCTTGGCAGCTTTCAATACCATCGATCATGGCATCCTTCTGGACTGGCGACAGGACCTCTAACACCGCCAGCCAAGAACATGGGAGGAGCTGATGCCAAGCTTTAGGCTGGTGCAAATATTTCTACCCCATTTGTTGGAAGGGTGCTTTGGACATACAAAAGCGGAGGGTTAACTCAGCAGAGAGAATCCATGTTTGAATGGGAGGGAGCCTCCTTGCAGACTTGCCCAGCAAACCACCTCTTCTGGGGTTCATGACAGAGATGGCGTTTAATGAATGCTAAGTCTAGGTACATGCAGTCCATCTGAAGGCGCTGGTGCATGGAAAGAGCGCAGCAGGATAGCGTGGATTAAAACGATGATGTGCAAAGACCAGAGGTGATCAAAGGAAGACAGATGGCTAAAGGGAGCAAGAGCCTGCCAGGACATGAACTTCCATGATCAAGAGCACTCACCAGTTTGGACACAGCATTCCATATTATGGTAGCCATACTCTACCTCCAAGAGGAATGTAGACTGAAATGTAAATAACACCTGTTAATTAAAGGGTTGTTGTTGGTTTTTTTGTTTGTCTGTTTGTGGTGCCTTTGCATCATTCTTGACTCCTGGTGACTGCCTGGACAAGTCCCTGCAGTTTTCTTGGCAAAATTTTAGAAGTGGTTTGCCCCAGCCTTCTTCTTCCTGGGGCTGAGGGAGAGGGACTGGCCCAAGGTCACCCAGCTGGCTTCATGCCTAAGGGATGAGTAGAACTCGCTGTCCCCCGGCTTCTAGCTTGGTGCCTTAACCACAACACCAAATGGGCTCTCTTAATACATACTAAGAGGGAAGAAATGATTGAAGAGGTGGAAGCAGTAGGAACCTTGGGGGAAAGCAGCTGTAAGATCCAAGAATTCACCATATTGCTACAGAGCTGACTTCAATAAGCTAAAGGAATTGGAAGGGAAAGTGCAGGAAGGTTGAAACTGAAAAGCAAACAAGGCCCAAAGAAAAGCAGAATACCAGGGAAAAGCCCTGGTATGGGAGGAGGGGGTCAGGGTGGCTAAGAGTCAGAATGAACTGAGGCGTGCAATGAATGCCAAGAAGGACAGAAAAGGGGCTGGGGACATGTGCAGGACAAGAAGAATATCAAGGAAGCAGTCTCCTGGTTGGAGAAGGTGGCAAGATGGCGACAGGCAACAGGAAGGAGCAAGAACTGCTTAATTCCTGTTTTGTATCTGTCTTTTAGCTAGCGGAAAAATTGGTCCCACCTCTCAGAAGGTGGGTTATGGGCAGCAGAAGATAAATGTAGGCCAAAATAGTCAAAGAAGCGGGGAGAGAGCCCCTAGCTGCTTGGAATGAATCCAGGCCTCTGGGACGGGGTGGATGACCTCCTAGGATGCTACAGGAATTGGCAAACCATGAACTAATCTTTGAGAACTCCTTTGGTACAGGAGAAGTGCCAGAAGACAGGAGAAAAGCCAACATTGTTCCAAACTTTTAAAAAGGGGGGAAAGTGGACCCAGGAAGCTACAGAACAGTCAGCTGGACCTCAGTACCTGGGAAAAGCCTAGCAAAGATAATCAAGCCATGGGTTGCAAACATTTAGAAAGAAACAAGGTAAATACTAGAAGCCAGCATGGATTTCTTGAAAACAGACCATGTCAGACAAATCTTAATGCTTTTTTTTTTACCAAGTGACTAGATTAGTAGACCAATGGAATGCTGTGGATGTAATATACCACCCAGAATCACTGGGAGTTGGGCAGCATATAAATTTAATAAATTAGTGGTGGTGGTGGTGGTGGTGATAGTGTAGAATCAAAACACAGGACACAAAGGCAAAACAATCAAGGCTTCCCTGCAGTGTTTATTAGGCAGTAGGCACTGGAGGGGGAC